AATCCCGGAAACATATACGATATTAAATTGTGCACAAATAGGCTTTACCAGAGTCTGGCACTTTTTCCCCGGCCACTAATAAGTGTTAAATAATGTGGAAAGGAAGGGTGACATTGCTTTATATATGGTTTGCAAATAAGAAAGGCCTTTTTACCCTCCCCTGCCTTTTCTTCCCGATGAACAGGTGGTCTTAATCAAAGCCCTTAGCACGATCTAATGGGAAAGTGGGGACCTTTCTGATATAATAAATTTATGAGCCCTTCCAAGTCAGCTTTATTCGACTAAGTATTTATAAAAGTAATATCCACATATGCTCCCTGACACGGTAACTTTAACTTCCTCTGCCGAGAAACAAATGGTTATTTTCTTAAACATCAATTATGAACCTGGATTATTGTAGTACACGCAAAATTTCCTGCCTTGTTACCGTACCAGCCGGCCTGTTTTTTACTCGCCGGGCTGCAGGGGAAATTGCTATCTAAACACCTATAATGCCATTAATTAAAACACACGACCGAGTCCAAGAAGCAAGGCGGTGTTGCCTGACCATTAAAACGTTCCCATTTACGGGGAAGGGAAGCGCGACGACCTCGGATACGGATATATCCCTGCAGATACGGGAGTACATCCTTGTAGATGTGGGGATGAACTCTGCGTGCTGCCTCAGTCCCTGCCTCTGTGAGACGAATAATGGCAAGCCCTGAGCTGATCGGGCGACTTGCTGAGAAATCACGGGTGTTTTCTCGTGATACCGGAGGGGTTTGTTGCGTCTTGGCTTTGATTTGCTTAAAACCGCGCGGTACTCGTTGATTTTTGTCTTGTCTGACCGTAAGGACGTCATGCTTTTGGGATTTAGTTTGCAAAATGTCTGATCCTTGGGGCTGGCTGGTGAAGAAGGCGGGGAAGGAAGCAGGGGTGACTGGGGACTCCCCTTTGTTACATTTCAGCTTTGGAAATTACGAGGGCAGTGAGGTCATTTCGCGAGATAGGCACCGTCGGTGGCAGCGAGGAGAATGATCGCTAACTAGAAGCGCTGGCAGGAATAGCAAAACATGGGACCGTTTGTCAAATCGATGGTTCTGCGAAAGGAGTAAACGAAATTCTGTAGGAAACCCTCCAAAATGACACGGCATGCCGGCTTCCCGCGGGGAATGGGGCGCGGAGGGGGAGGGATGTTCCAGAAGAAACGAATTCGTGGCCACGCCGAGGAAAGGAAAATGGGAAAGTATGAAAATATTATTGCAGCCTAGAGTGTCAAACGCAGCTCTGCGGGTGTCAGGTTTCTTCAGAGAGCCGGGAAAATTGCTCCTGGGTGACCAGTCCCACAAAATTAGGAAAACTTCAGCACATGCTTCGGCAGACCCACGGCACTTACAAATGGTTGTCGGTGGTGGGTTTGTTTGAATAATTTTTATGCAGTGAGAAAGGATGCTTAAGCCATTTGTGTGTACGTGTATAGATATATAATCTATACGATTCGTCAGGTCTGTGAATTCTACTTAAGGAATCTTTCCCTGTAATCGATAATCTGGGTATTGCTGAAACAGCAGCTTCCAGCATAAAATGTTGAAATTACATTCAGTTTTATATCACCATTCAGCATTCCGAATTGATTGTTTCAACTCTATCGACAAAAGAAAAAAAACAAAACAAAAAAAAAAAAAAAAACCGAGAGAGAGAGGGAAAAAAAATTGGTCTAAATATTCCGTAACTGAACATTCTTTTCAAAAACAAGAACTTAGACCGAGCAGCGTGCAAAGCAAAGGTCGCCGGTGCCTTTTTTGAGCCCCGGGACGAGGTGGGCGCGCAGCTTGTGCCCCCTCGGGACGGAGCGAGCGCGGGGGGGCCGAGGCGGAGCCCAAGAGTAGCTGCTGCCTCTGGGCCTCCAGGCAGAGCCGAGCGGCACCCTCCCTCCCCTCCACACAGCGCGGCCAAATTTGTCCCCGCAATTGTGACCCGAGCCGCGGAGCCGGGATGTTCCGGGCGCAAGAGCTCCGCTGGTGCTCTGCCCCCGCCAAGCGCAAATTACAAGTTATTCATTGAGCTTCGCTTATAGAATTTTCCCCCTCCGCAGTTGCCGTCTGAGAATAATATATGCAGCAGTTGTTAGCCTCACTCCAGGGAAAACTAAATGTATAACGAAAGCTTATTCGTGAGTAGGAATATACTAACGGAACAATCTGATGTCTTCTTAATCCTATGTAAAAAGCTCTGTAGTCTTCCTAATATTGACTGAATGGGTAATTAATGGCTCTTCATCGAGGAGAATACCCGGTAATCCGAGATAGGCGAAAGACAACAAGCCAAAGGTAAAAGACAACAGGACTAGTTGGAGGCTCTACATAAAGAACCAATTTATCCATTTAGGGGAGTATTACGCCTAGAAACAAAGATCTCGTGAGGAGATAAAGGAAAAGTGGGAAAATAAATACCCGCAGTAGGTCTGGCCACCCTCCGGCATCCCCAGCGCAGCCGCTTAGCTCCGGCCCTGCTCTCGGCCCTCCCGCCTCCCGCACCGGGGCGGGCACCGGGCATCTCGGGTGAGCTCAAAAAACAGCGTGAAGAAACGAAAAAAACAAAACAAACAAAAAAAAAAAACCAAAACAAAACAAAAAAAAAACAACCAAAAAAACCCACACCCGCACACACAAAAAAAAAACAAAACACAAAACCACAAAAACCCAACCAACCAACTAACCAAACAATTAGGAGAAAACCACACCAGAACTCCCATGGAATTAAACAGGTGAAGCGGAGTGGGGAGTACCCCCGATTCCCCATTTTTCGCAGGCAGCGCATGTCCCCCAGTTCATTGGGGCGCATCCCCGACCGGCCCTGAAGCTCAGGGCGAAAAGGAAAGAGAGCAATTCCCAAAATAGTTTTGGAGTTTTCTCTGGTGATGGCAGCCACACGCAGCAGGCGCGGACAGTCAGTACGCGAGTGAGCTGGCGGGGGTGGCTTTGCGGCCAGGACCTGAACCCGAGAGGGGATGGGAACTTCCACCAGAAAAAAAAAAAATAAAGAAAAAAACCAAATTTAAAACACTTGACATTTTAATTGAAACCTTTACCGCTAATATATTACCTGGGTGACTACAATTAGGTTGTTTTTCGGTTGGCTGACAGCTTTTAAAATATTATTTCACTTGGGAAATAAAAGCTTCATCTCAGATTATAGGTGGGTATTTTTGGATTTACGTGATTTATGGTCACCATGACAACTAATGCTGTGTGGTAGCTCCCCTCCTGCCCGGGGTGGGGGAGTTTTAATCAAAGGCACGTAAGGAAATGCCGACAGCCTCTCCCTTTGGGCTGCCGGGGCCCGGGGCCAGTGTTGGGAGCTCCTTTTCGGGACGCGGGGACGCTGGAGGGTCTGTCCCGCCCGTGGCTGTGGGACGCGGGGCTGGAGCTAGGGAAGATGCGAGAGGGCGGTGCGGTGGCCGGGCCCTGCTCCTCCTCTCCCCGTTCCCTGGGGGAGCGCGCCAGGAACGGCCTGTCCCCGTCAAATGTCCCCAGTGAGGCAGCGAGGCTGCGGCCGGCGGGCACCCTGCAAGGTGACAAGCACTGCGCCCCGCAAGAGGGACGGACTTTTCGCTTCGAGTCCCGGCCGAAGAAGACAACATTGCCCCAAAATTACTCAAAATAAATGAAGGCAAAGAAAAAAAAAAAAAAAATGGAAA